CAAAAAGGTAATAAGGAATAGCAAAAAAATTGCACAAAACGGACATCAGAGTGGGTGACTCACAAAGTCACTGTATACCTAGAAGTGCATAACATCTTCATTAACTGTAGTCTGAAACAGCAGAAGTGGGAACAGCTACCGTACATGTTGGCAGGTAAGCCATTCAGTTTTTTGACACCCCCAGCAATAATTCCAAACAAAACTTTTTACAGACTATGAGAAGCCTTTCATGAGATTTGGAACTTGCAATATGCAAAGATTTCCTCGGTCTTCATACATTTGAGATGCTTCTTTAACATATACCACAGTGGCAACTCCTTGTACTCGCCACTTTCCCTTTCCAGGTGGGTGTGCTGAAGTCATGGAGCTTGTGTACTCATACCAGAACATTAACACTACTGCTTTTCACTTCAAATCATCAAAAAGTTTCAAAAAGTTACTTTGAAACTTAGCCTTCATTAACAAGCAAAACCCTAGTTAACCAATGACTATTTACTTTAAACCAAAGCTAAACTAATGTATTTGAAGATTGTCCCACAAATGCCAGAAAAAGCTAGCCTGGCTCTAAACCATCACCTGTACTAAATGGAAAAGTAAATTTTGGATCACAGATTTACTTAGTTAAAAAACAAAATGCTGAAAGTAAGTCCTCCCAAAAGGGTGGGGAAAGAAATCTAACAACTCAACTTTAATACCAAATTTGCAACAAGATACAGGAAAAGCAAGAGGCTGAGAAGTCTTAACAGAAAAGTGGAAGTTTTGATAATGGAGGAAAACAAGACTGTTGACATCAGCCAACATATACAAATTCCACTATTTTCAGAAAACAAAATTTAAGGCCCATCTAAATCAATACAGACAGTAGATTTCCAAGCAATAAGCACTTTAGAAAGAATGCACTCTAGACCACTGAGAGGGAAGTAATCTACTCTTCAGAAAGAAATTTAGTCATGGTGGGAAATGAAAATTGACCACTTAATCCCTGAGATTTACACGGCATTTCTTCCATAGATCTCAGTATTGTAGAAGCTTAACAAAACAGCTATTTGACAAAGCTATGGGGGGCATGAAAAAAGAGCTAAACGTGCAGCCCTACTAGCAAGAAGAGTTAATATTAAATTACTGAATACAAGTCACCTTCACCAAATGTGAACAATAAAAAAAACAAAATTCAGACAGATGCTGTCCAAGTGACAGGCA